ATCACAGAGTATACAGAGGCGGAACTCGCGGCGATTCCTTTGTTCTTTGTGTCCCCGTGCAACGTCATTTCCACGCGCCACGCAAATTGCTCTGGCAAGTGTCATTCGTCGTGTTTTCAGTCAAAAGCATAGGAAAACACCGTTCGAAAGTAGAAAAATAAATATTTTTGCGAAGTTGCTCGACCGATCTTCATTTTGGGACTCAAATTTGAAAGATAAATGGTAAGTGGTTATTTTTATGTAAAAAGATATACGTTTATAGGCTAAATACAAAGAAAAAATAGTATAATACAATATACAATCTCGGTGCTTGTGATGTTCTGCCAAGAAGCAGATTCCCATTTCGCTATAAAATTAATGCGGGCCAAACGTATTGCTTTCCTGTCTTTTACATTAATAAGAAAGCATAGGTGCTGATTTGAAACACGTCCATCAGGTTCCATGCATGTAGCTTTGGGATTTGTGAGCAAAAATTACTAGTTAAAGTTAAAGTAAACTACCTATGTTTTTAATACTTTCTGTGCAACTATAAATAACCACATTCACAAATGTATTCTCCAGCAAAGAAACGTTTCTTTACGGATTGTTATTCCGCATTTGAAGGCATGCTTATGCCTTCAAAGGTCAGAGATCTTGAACATGCAGAATAGCAGAGACTACTGTCATTGACATCCTTTTTAATTGTCACAAAATTATGATGGCATATTGGACAGCAGTATGTTGGATAAGGCACTTCCTTAATAAATAGCCGGACACATAAGTTCATGCAGACTAAGTTTTGTTCAATTTCATTTGTTTTGTAGTCGGTATCTTCAACTGCTTGGATTAGTGGTGGGCTTGTCTAATCATTTCCTGCAGATAAATCAGATTGGCTAGGGTGAAATGCAATCAAATAGGCATCAGAATCTTCAGCACAGCTGCCAATTGAAAGTGGTGTCAAAATGTTATCTACAAATAATATGCAAAATGCTCTGGTGAACTGGATGGGACTAATGGGTTGTCACAATCCCCCCCCCCCCTGCTGCCTAATGAGGCCAAAGAAGTTCTCCAGAGGATCTTGGTTGAGACATCTTGTCATGAGAAACTCCAAGGAATGATGTTGGTTAAGGTCTTGAAATGTAAATACTACAGTGTAATAACTACTGACAGTGTAAATACTACAACAGTGAAATGTAAATACAACAGTGTAATTGGGGTTTAAAAATACAAAGTTTATTTTAATAAATGTTGTTTATTTTATTTCACATTTATATACATTTAAGAACTTAAATTATTCAAAAACTAAATAAATATGTGTTCAATGTCAATGAATATTGCTATATTCTAAATTTTTTATTCCAAAATAGGCAATAACTGTTTCCTTTATAGTTGACCCCACATGTTGTCATGAAAATTAATACTAAATAAAAAAAGTAGCCAATGATCCATGTTTCCTCTTACAGTCTCTGCTTTATATGAAAAGTTAAATACTATGAATAATTGCATTGTTCCTTTTATTGATAAAGAGTTTCCCATTAAAAGAGAAAGTATTCCCAATTAATACTTTCCCTTTAAAGTCATGTGCCTACCCCTTGATGAGTAAAATTGTCTGCTGTTAGACAGAGTAAAATAATAAAGTAGGGTGCATCAGGGCACCAAGTTGGGTAACTAACAAGTAAAATTGTCTAGCTTTACAGTACATCTTCCAAGGGGGGCTGGATTTGGAGAGCAGGCCTACCACTTTTAGTTGCATTGGGGGGGGGGGGCTGCTTTTTTGAACCTCAATTAAACTATTACAGTAATCTGAAGGCCTGTTTATATGGTCTCCGGGTACTAGGGAAATCCCCCTCCCCCCCGAGCCACCATGGCAAGGCAAAATTATATTCATATCCTATTATAGCAATTAACTGCCATGAAAGTGTTTGCATGGAAAGTTTTGAACTTGTCTTGCCTAGTGGGATGATCCAGGTAGCAAGGTCACACCGTCGGGGGGTACAGCATCTCTATTACTCAAGATTAATTATATAAACATTGCCTGAGGCTATGTAAAATTGGTAGGCATTCCAATATACGATCAAATAGTCTTGGGTTTTCCCCAATCAGGCGAACAAATTAACATAGTTGTAAGATTCTGCATCTGATTCATTGTAATGAATAATGTAGTTCAACAGGAATGATTGGCAATCTAGAAAAGCAAAATAAAAAATAAAATAAATAAACAGATTAGATTTTTATTAAACATGTACAGTGACTTGGCATGTCTGAGAAATTGATCTTTGAGAGCCAAAAAAAGGTTGTCAGTGCACTGTCAATAACCAATGCACTAATCTAGGGGAATCACTATAAAGTATAATTTGACCAATCCCCCATCATTGGGTCAACATATAAGTTAAATAAAGTCTATACGAGTACTTTAGAGTACTGTGGCTCCATGTCCATGACTCCATCAGTCCATGTTGAACGTTGATGTTCATTTTCGTATCTGAATGCTGTTTATGCAGTGTTTAAACTAACGACAACCCTTTGATACAACATTGCACTTCACAAAAATATATTGATAATTTGATATATATGAGCTAGAGAAAAAAAACTCACATATAAAGTTGCCAAGTTCCAGCTGGAGTTCATGTCTACAGAATCGAATCTTCAGATTGCCAGAAATTCTCACTCCTTCGGGTGTCTTTTCTCATTTTCGCCGTTAAAAATGGTATTCGTTCAATTCCCTTTCGTTAAGAAGACGCAATGTGCCATTTATTTGCAAAATTCGTGCACAAAATGAAGATTGATCGGTTACTGCGCTTAAAATCGCCGTTTTACTGCCAAAATTTTGCATTTCCCTATCTTTTTCCTGATAAAAAATGTGCATGACACTTGCCAGAGGGTCGCGCATGCGCATTAAAAAAGTGGGGACATGATTTGCCTCGAGTTCCGCCTCTGTATATCCTTACTCTGTGCCCCTGGTTTTTATAAAAATATTTCGGCTTTTTGCAATTTGCAGTGAATCCTTGTTGTTTTGATATTTTCGACATATTTTTTCGCCTGTTGACAATTTGTTCAAAGATGTGGAAGCTGTACACGTTAATTCTCGTCCGTGGAGCGTGAAAGACAACAAACAACTATTAAAACCTTGCGAAATGTGGGCAAAAACGATACTTCAAGCCAGAACAAACATCCGTATTTATCAGACTATAAACAGGTATTTATATATTTTTCAAAATTTACATTACTATTTTAAATATTTCATGAAAAAATGTTAGGAATAAATGGTAGAATGTAATCTATTTTTTAGAAAATAAGCCACGAGTATTTATAATGTGAAAATGCTGTGCTGAGTGGTTATATTACTACCTTAAAAAATAAGCAGAAACTCGACGAAGGGCCTTCGCTCGAAACGTCGAGTTTCTGCTTATTTTTTAAGGTAGTAATATAACCACTCAGCACAGCATTTTCACATTGGTACTACCAACACTGGTACAGACAGTTTTAGTATTTATAATGTGGTTGTAGACGAATCTTTTAATTTTAAAATATAATAATTTCATCCCTCAATCCCAAGGAATTAATGGTTGTACATGTATATGAATTTGCTCGAATTTGACAAATATTTGAGTTGACATGAAACTATCATGTGCTAGTATATTAAAGAGGGAAGTAAGGTTTTATAGATTTAGGTAAGACCGGGTTTTTTCATGCATGAGCTCAGAACTGGTGCTGGAAAAAGCTCAGCTGATCTGAAAATGCATATGTTTTGCCCAAGTTTGCATGTATATTGTGTGCTCTCTGATAGTTTGTTGCATGTATCTTTAAAAGGCCATGCATTAACTTGTTTGCCCCATCCCTATAAATATTGGGTTAATTGACTCAACTGCATGCTGGCATATTTCTGGTGTTCCTGAGGTAGGGGCTAATGTGACAGCTAGCCCTAGGCCAGTAAGCAAGGTCTCACTCACTGTGTGGTTATTTTTATAGTGGAAATTCCTTTCAAATTGTATGGACAACCTGACTGGCTCAGTTTTCAGATCTCACCTGAAGAAGGCAAGCTCTCAGTTACACCGGGAAGATATTTTATGGATATAAACACTAACTGGACTGACCTGGTCAAAGTAAAGTCAATACAACATTGGTCATGGAAATATTGTCAAAACAATAGAATTGTGTCGGCAAGGAAATTAATCTGGAAATAATAAATAGTTCTGCCAACCAGGCCAGCCTGGCTTCCATATTGATAGCCCCTATGGCTATAATCTATTCTTGCTTATTGCAGAATGCTCCCACAATGAGTTCATGCCACTGTTGTTAGTGAACCTCCAAGAAACATGTATTAATTGTTTCAAAATTAATTAAAGACAAAAATTTGCTTGATTTTGTATATTATTTATTTTAATCCAACTTGCATGGTTAAAGAATAATTATCCAATTGGGACGTTCCAGAAAAGATCCACACTCCCCCCACGGAGGAAATTTCTGCCGTCCGGAGGGGAGGGGAGAAAAAATTGTTTCTGATAATAGTAAATGTACGTAATTTCCTCTGTGGGGGTGGTATGGATGTTTTCTGGAATATGACCCATTAGCAGTAAATAATATTAAAACCTAACTGTACAATCAAGTTACATGTAATACTTAACAGTATTATTAAAAAATTAAAACTAGAGCTCATGGGTTATTCTTTGGCTGTTTGTAGTACATACATATAAATAACACATTCCCACAAAATTATAGAGAAAAGTAATTGTTAGTTCTGGCATTCAGTTAAGTCTGGCAAGAGCTAGTGCACCACTTGACTCTTGCTATTTGAACATTCGAAAGAACTTGTATTAATTTCTTGTCCACATGACTTACATCAGATTCAGTCCTAAATGAGAAATGTCCATTATACATATAAAATAGTGACAGTACCATATGAAGACACTGAAGATGTATTGGGTCACAGATCCCAGACTCCAATTACAAGGAAATTTACTGTAGAGCAGAGCCCAGACGGTTCAGTTAGACATTGACATGTTAACCCATTGAGCACTGAGTGGCTCTCCAGTTCACAAGTAAAATTGTCTGGTGTTAGACAGAGTAAAATAATAAAGTAGCTAGGGTGCATTAGGGCACAATGCAACCTAATGGTTAATTAATATGGTATGTCATTTATAAGCCTGTCTAATATGCCAGGCAATTTTACATGTTAAGGGGACAATCTTGTCCATTATAAATGGATTAATTGTATTTCTTAACTATCCCAAAGTTTCATTTTACATTACAATATATCAAAAATAATCTATGCAGATATAAGAGAGGAAGTTCGTAAATAATGTCTAACTGAACAGTTGGGCTCTACTCCAATACTGGGGATATAATATACCACCACTGAAGATGCTCTCAAATGTACATGTGATCAATCATCTGCAATTTGATTGGTTAATTGTCAGGGCACAATTTTGGTCAATGCCAATGGCAGCGAATATGCATTGGCTGACACGTAGACACCCTTCATTCCTACAAATACCTAACTACAAGTCTACAACTCTAATAGCTGTGGAATTTATATAACTCTGACATACTATGTTGGGCAGATGAATACCATATGTAAACCTCTGAATGGGTTATTCCAGAAAACATCCATACCACCCCCACAGAGGA